TTAAAGCTTGTTTGAACAAAATAATTAAGCAAAAATAAATAACCTCAATGTTAATTTCAAATACAAGAAAATAAGAAAAAAGACAATAATATAAAAATAACAGAAAGTAATAAATTGAAATAGAAAAATAAAGGAATATAACAAAAAATGAAAATAAGATAAAATAGACAATAAAAGTATTTCCTATTATTGTCTATTTTATTTTCATTGGTTATCTTCCTTTATTTTTCTTTAATTTTTATTTTATTCCTATTACTTTTTGTTTTATTTTTGGAATACAATAATGTGGGGGAGGGTTTTATTTCTAAAAGAGTGATATGAAACATTTTATGGGTATTTTCAGAATAAAAAAGCATTCCTAAACAGATATACAAATGGTTCCTAAAGAAAAGGTGCATTAAGCAAAGTGGATGCAAAGTGGAGAGTGCATCTTAATAATACACAAACTATGGGGTAATTTTTAGTATTTATGTGAAACCATAGGGGCATCTTAATAAATGATAAAAACTTAGTGAAATTTAAGAGGAAAGTAGGGACTTAGTAAAGGTGCACCTTGGGTAGGCTCGAGTTGGGATTTTTGTCAAAATTTGAATGGGCCCGACTTGAAGGCCCAATTCAGAAGCAGTGTAAAATGTTAATTTGGGCCAATCTGAGTAATACTCCTATTTATTAAAAAAATTAAGACCTAAAACGGTTTGATTATGATTTATTATTTTAATAATTTACTTTAAAAATAATAATCACACGTATTAAAAATAAGTAGATAAGGAGTTCCTGTTTGAGGTGAGAATACTCTTGGCCTTCTTCTTTCCTCTATATAGACCTTTGTGACCATACTCAAATTGTACTTGCTACTCTTCAGCTACTCACAATTAGGCCCTGTTTGCATTTTGGTTAGTTATTTACCCGGGTAAATACACTTACACAGGTAATTGTTTCTCAGGAAAGATTTATCCAGATAAATGCATTTACCCATGTTTTTTTATTTCCCATGTAAATAAGGCAATGACCATTTTATCCATAAAAATCCATTATTACAAGGGGCATTTTTGTCCCTTTCAAGTGTTGACAACTTTCCCCCAAGGTGGGAAAGTTATTTATCCACCTAGGAAATGGGTATCACTTACATACCCAAAAAATAAACTTTCCTTGTTCCCCACATAAATCTAAAAAAAGAACATGGGATTTTTGGTCAATGGGAATCAAAATCCCATCGACCAACTTTTCCCCCTCTCAAAATCCAGAAAAAGAACGCCCCCTTAATGTTTTACAACTCCTTTTTTGTGGCTACTTCCTTGGCCTTGGGTCAAAAGATCAATGGTAAGTTTGATAGATTCTTGACCTGAGTCAACAATTGTTAGAGGTTTGACCACAAATGGAACTCTACTTCTTTCTCATTGAGTGCACCTCACAACCTCATCCCACCACATATTGAGAACATCTCCCATCTTTTGTGCTGTTATTCATGGGAAGATGTTCCTAGTACATGGTAGGTGGGGTTGTGAGGTGCACTCTGTGAGGAGCAGATCCCAATTCCTTTGAATGTATCGCCCGTCAATGATCGAACCCACTAGATTGAAGACAGTGGCTATTCATTTCAACGGTACTAGTAGGTGTATGTTAATGGAAGAAAATTTAGAGGTATAAAGTGGGTTGTGCGTAGGGGTGTTCATGAAAAACCAAACCGAACCTAAAATGCAGTTAACTGAACTTATCAGTTCGGTTTCGGTTTGGAATTTTTGAAAAATCAAAAGACCGATTTGATTTTCGGTTAACCTACAAAAAACGGGTGGTTAATCGAACCGACCGGTATATATATGTGTGTATGTGTGTTTTATATATTTTCAATATATCACATATTTTCTATATATTATGTATAAATATTTATTCATTATATATAAATATATACTTATATTATATTTATAATAATCTAATTATAAATATATTATATATTTTTAAGATACTTATAATATATTATATATTATTTATTTTTATAATATAATATTATATATATATATATATATATATATTATAATTTATAAATATAAAAACCAAAAAATCAAACCAATCAAAAACCAAAACTAATGAACTGATTAACCGGTGATACTGGTTTGATTTCGATTTGAAAAAATGGAAAAACCAGTACTATCAGTTCGATTTATAAAATATGCCCATGGTTCATAACTGTGAACACCCCGTAACTGTGCCGTGCCAACATTTTTGCGGGTCGTTGTGCTTTAGTGCGCCTTTTCGTATAGGACACAGGCGTGGGTGGGCCATGCTTGCGTAGCCTGGAATCCTTAAAAAGTCAGGCATAAAGACCGAGCTGTGGGAGGCATATATGAAAAAACAAAATAAATTATCAAAATACACAGGATGGGAGTGGTTTTGATTGGTCCGACTCTTGTATAGTTGGACATGTAAATTCAATTACAAAGTGTGGTTGTTATTTTCCCAAAAAAAAGAAAAGAAAATTGAAATTGAAAATGAGGATATTGATTTACCCAAATTCGCCTTCTCTGATCATCAAAGAATAGTAAGACTGGGAGAATTGATGCCTATACAAATTGTAATATAAAATAAAAATTTGTGGGGTGGGTTTTAATGAGATTTCCCCATAAAGAAAACTTGCATGCCTTCTCTGGTCCGATGCATGGCACTGAGAACGAACAAAACAAATTACTTTTCTCTTCACCCATGCGAGAATAAAATACACAAACAAGACGCAAAGAATAGGATCACTATAAAAATAATAAATAATAAATAATTATTAACTTGCAAAAAATAAAGGAATGGAAAGAAAACATTATTGATGCTGTTCATTTTGATCCTTAAGGCTCAGTTTGGGAAGAGTATAAATGCAAATATATACAGTAGAAATACATATAAAATACAATATTTTGCATTCTACATATTTATATTTATATTTCTTCCAAACTGAGTCTAAACAACTACGTTGCTTTTCTCTGTTATTTGAACTTATTTTTTAAGGAAACTTTGAGAATTTAATTTTCAGTTTTTTTTTTTTTATCACATATTATACATGACAGAGGATTAACGTACGGGGTGGAGAACTGGAGACAAGTAGATCTGTCAATGGGTCCATCTATTTAATAGAAGAACCAAAACCAACTGATCCAATTTTATTTTATCCTACATTTGCTACGACAGTGTTGTAACCCTGGAATGAAACAAGTAAATCAAAATTTTTGATTTATTGTCATAACTCTTAAATTAGACGAAATAACTTTTAAATGGGACCACTGCAATAGATCCAAGGCCATGGTTTTCTATTTTAACCATATACTAGGACAGTGTTAGCAGAAGTGAATTCATTTTATTGATAGTTATGGTTTTATGGTTTGTATTCCAATTAATAAATGAATCCAAACTCGTTCTTAATTAATAACATATAAAAATATTATTATAGTGTTAAAGACACTTACCAAGCTGTTATTATGATAGATAGATGTCAAGTATAATGAGGACTTGACTATCCTAATTAATAAATGGGTTTGGTTCAGGATCCATATCATAAAACCGATTAACATCTCCATCCTGTACGTTTCAAATTACACCCGACCCATTGACAGCTTCAAGGGGCAAGGGCAGGTCAGGATGCATGGGATTGGGACCTGGGAGGTCTACTGATCACCTTACCATGGAAATATGCAGTTATACCGGTTTGATATTGCGCCTCCATATTTGGAGGAGGGACGACGTTGAGTGATTCAACTTTCACTTTGTAAGGTTTTGTTTGGGAAGGATGCAAGTAGAATTAATTATGTTTACTGCAAAACCTTATATATGGTCATTAGTTCATTACTCATTACTTGTCTGTACTGTATAGCAGCGGTAAGTGGTAAATATGATAGTGCAGTTAGAGGTGTGTCTGTACTCTGTAGGTGCTATCTGATCTGATGTCTCTATTGGTTACATGTCTTTTTCCCATGAAGTATGGACCGTTTGATAACAGATGAAATTGCTGAATTGAGAACCCTTGCAGTTTTTGGTAATATGGCCCAAGCTAAAGTTGGGTTGATTTCTATATTCTCCATTTCTCATTATTTAATATCATTATTTTATTCATTAAAAAACAAAATAGCAAGTCATTCGGTTCAGCCAGTTCAGCCGCATCTTACCGCCCTTAAAATAATGGACAAAATGATAAAGGTCCATTCAATGTTAAATCAGCCCGTTCAGTGACCAAAAGTTAGTGAGGTTGGCAGCATTGAGAGAGTCAATGCATCTGCTTGTTTGCGAATTGCGATGATGATTTTGAAGAATAAATCGTCCATCCACCCCACGGATTCTGATCATCTACCAATTTTGAGTGCCAACAACGTCCCAACCCTCCATTCCAGCCCTACATCAGGAATATCTCGTATGAATGAAAATGGAAATGTTCGCAATGTACGTTTAGTAGTGGCTTGCTAGAACCGCGTTGGGAGCGTTTTTGTTTCTATTTTATATAATATTCTTTTATCGCAAACGTATACGTAATTTTCTTGATGTCGGCGATGAAACATGTGAGATCAGCAAATGAGTCATCCTGCGTATCATTCTATAATTCCCGCTGGTCGAGTTGTTAATGTTACTTTGAGAGTGTTAATGATTATTTATCAACTCTTCCGAAGCGAAGCAAATAGCAGCCAATATGATAGAATTGACACGTGTTTAAATGTTAAAATATTATTTCCATTGACCTTTTAGGGTTCTTCAATCCATTATTTCATTATTATAAATAGAGAACTTATTGTGTTCTTGTCTATGATGATACGGCTAAATCAGTCATTTGAGAAAATACATTTATCATTAAAAATGGGATAATCATTATATCATACCAAATTTTTGGTATATTTTTCATTTTCCTCGGTAGTTCTTCCGAGTTCTGACTGACACAAATAAGTTTTTTTTTTTTCTTTTAGCTTTATAAAAAGGTAAAATTAATTTTGTTTCGAACTTCTCGTCGCTCCATGGAAATATATATACAGGTAATCGGCGTTAGCTTTCTCTCTGAGACATTTCCCTCAAATTTTCTATGTAACCCCATTTTTTAAACGGAACCTTTTCTCATTTTATAATGTGTGCGTCCTGGCTTGAATCCGGATTTCTTTGTTAGAAATCAGAACAGAGCAAGCCATGAATTTCTGCAGAAAAGTCTGTAGTTTGCCTCCAATCCTTCTCTAGTTGTAGCCTGCTATTTATTTGTTGCAGAAACTGAAGTTCTTGCACACCTTTTTCTCTGTTTGTCAGTAGGCAACTAAGGTACTGAGAGGTGAGAAAGTGATCAACTGATCAAATACCTACTTGTTGTAATCTCTGCAATTTCAGATTTTGCTCGAATTTTTTAGGACTTTATCCTGCTCCTGAAGCGACAAGTGTTCGAGCACGAGACCTCCAAAATTTCAACCTTGGAGGGCTTTCATGTTCTCCCTTTGCGGCAGAGTCTCAAGCTGCTCATTGCACTTACATGAAGTTTCAGGTCCTGGGTTTTGGAAATGGCAACTGTAGAGAAGTCGCACTCCCATGTTGATTTGGAAAGGGGAGGTCGTCGTCGTTCTGTCGCTGCAAGCGACGCAGGGAGTGAGGGAAGCATACGCTTCTCCGATGCTGACGACAGATCGTGGCACTCCCAGTTCGGTTCTACTGCCGGTGGGTCGTGTGAAGAGCATAGGTGCTCCAGTGTGTCCGATCCCGAGACTGGGAGGACTTCAGGCCACCGCCGGAATTCTTCGGCGTCGGATTGTTCGGTGGAGGTAGATTTGGAAAGTGGGGTTCCGGAAATTAAGGTGCATTCGGCTAAAGTGGACAAGGATTGCAGGATTTGTCATCTGAGCCTGGAAAGCACTAATCAGGAATCTGGGATTCCTATTGAATTGGGCTGTTCTTGCAAGGACGATTTGGCTGCTGCTCACAAGCAATGCGCCGAGGCTTGGTTCAAGATAAGGGGAAACAAGTAAGTAAAAACTCAAGTATTACTGCATTCTGGTTACAAATTTTCAATTTTTGTGAGAAAAAAAAAACGGATACTGTGAATTTGACTTCAGCTTCTTATTGTACCTCATCTTTTCCATACTGTGAATTTGTCAATTTTCATCCCTCAAAAAAAATATTAATTTCCCCTGTATTGGTATATTCCTGTCAAGTTGAGGCAGGAAATATTTATCGTAGTAATTTCGTGGATTTTAGTTGGATTTTTTTCCCTTTTGATTTTAAAGCTTTTAGGCTCAAGTCTTAGAGGTTGAGCTCATTTTTTAGGGGACTGAGATTTAAGGATCTCACTTAAGATAAAATACATAGTTTTAGAAACTTAAATAGGACGCAATATGCTTCTTTGTCATGGATTTATTATATAGAAAAGGAGAAAGTTAAAGCAGATTATATCAGACAAAGGGCATCATAGAAATAAAGCAAAAGCTAAAGCACCAACAAATTCTGCTTGTGTATTTAACTGAAAGAATGATTCCTTTCTTCTTTGTTTTGGAGTTCCAATACAGCAGCGGAAGCTTCTCTTCCTCTCCTTTCTGGTTTCTCCTTTGCTTTACGCAAGTATTGATTTGCCATTAGTGATGTGATCAGCATCAAGACGAGGGATTTATTATTACTTGGAGATACTGTCAAAATGGTATTCTTACTTCTTCACTGACTGCAAATCTGAGATATTCCGTTTGTTTAATGTAGTGCCAAATGCATTTCCTACGGAACATTATTTCACAATGCATATCATTGTAAGAGTCCAAGTCACCTCTATCTTCCATCATCACTTTGTTCTGCTTTGACAAAATGATGAATCACATAATTTTTAGGTGAAAAGAACATTGCATTTGGCCCCAGAAAAGTTGGATCAATCGTATATTTAAAAGAAACCGAGTTTTTTAAACCAAGAAAATACTCAAAAATTTCTCACAGAACCATCATTTTGTATGCACAATAACAAACTGCATGAAATTTTCATGTAGAATCATCAATTCGTAATGCACTGCATTCTAAAGAGTCCAGGTTCATAATGCTTTGCATTGCAAAGAGTCCCGATGAGATCCTTTTTCCATCATCTGCATTTTCTGTTGCAAATTAGGAGGTATAAATTGCATTGTTTTTGTTTAAAAGGACAATTCTATGTGGTCATAGAAATGTGGAATGAATGATATGTTCATCCAAATATTGTTGATCCAATAAGTGCCTTTGAGTACTTTATAGGTTAGTGGAGTGGAACAGCATGCCAGCTGGACAGATGGAAGAATTTAGATACCTATGACATGGTTAATATGACTAATGGGTGCAGATGTGAATATCTCTCTTTTTATTTTTCATGGTTTGAAATGTTGTTTTCATGTTTTCTTTTGGTATAGCTTTTCATTTGTCTAATTGTATAGAAAACATAATCTAGTCAGTTTCATGTATTTTGATATCATTATCATGAAGACAAGAAACCAAAAAAATTTAATTAGTGCCCTTAGTTATTTTATAGGCATATTGCAATCCAGCTGTTTTTTTTTTCACTTTTTTTTTTCTCAGTAGTGTTTCTGGAATTATCCAATTAAAAGTTGGTTCCTATTTAATATCTCTATGGATTATGTTTTCTGTTAGCATAATCCTTCAACTGCAAATATTTCTTGGCAGTGTTCTATTAGGGGGTGGCAAAGGGCCAGGCACTGGATGAGTTCATGAGTTTGGGTCAGCCCCAGACTTTATCACCATCACATTTTTTTGGTGAACGATGCCTAAGTTGTTTTCCATCCCTTTCCCATTAACACCCTTTCTGCTTATGTCATTAACAACATAAGCCAACTTGATGATGCCATCTTGAAAAACTAATACTGTCGCACATGTCTGGTTGTGGAAAGTCTAGACTAATAGAGTGACTCCTGATTTTGTTTTTGATTACCTGAAGCAAAAAGTATTTTATCCATGGGAAGGGATTATGTTGTAAGATATGGTTCTGTACCCTGCTAACCTATTGGAGTTATAAGGGGAAATAAAGAGACAGAAAAGCACAGGCTTTGAAACAGGTATAGTATTTATTTCAGGGCTTCAATTCTGGAGTCTCTCCGAAACAAAATGTTTCTTTTCAAGAAAAAGAAATGAAAACAATTAATAACAGCAGAATTGTGGAAACAAACTCCTTGATAGCAGTAGAAAGGAACTCCTTTCAAATATCAAATACAGAATCATAGAGAGATCAGAGGATAATAGGAATCAGAAAAATACATCCAGATATTACATTAACCACAAATATAGCAACTAAGACCAATATGACCTACACTGCCCCTGCCTCACCAGCCTATCCAAGCTTACAGCATTTCCACCTTTTTTCAGTCTTCATATTCATTATGCAAGCTATTCTGAAGCAAACATTAACAATGCAAGTTGTTCAGTAGCAGATGTGTTTTCAAATTCTCCCACTGGGAAAGGAACAATCAAGCTTTCATAAAATAATTGTTCTTTGAGATTCATGGTGCTGAATAATTCTTCCGTTCATAGTCAATAAGATTTGAAGTTGATTTGAAATTATTACATCTATTATATCTTGTTTTTCCCTTTTCAAACGTATCAAGATTGTTCAAGCTAGGCCTGCAGGTCTGGAATTTACCAAGTTTCAGTTAGGTCTGGAATTGCATCTCAACCTGTTAACTCCAGGCCTAGCACTATCTGTGTCAGAGATGCATTTGGCTGTACATTCCCTTCGCCATTGATGTAGGGCTGTTTGCTCTAATCACAAATTGATTGGCGATAATAGGGTTTAGAAATGTTTTAGTTATTGAAGATGAGGATATGTTGGGGTTAGTTCCTAGGTCAAATTGCTAAGGATTGCAGATTCTTCACAGGATGATGAAAATAATAAAAATTCAAAAATTTAATGTAGTGATGGAATTTTTATATTGAACTTTGTAGAAGCTTTCAAGTTAAAGGATTGTAATGGGTTGTTTAATTTGAAGGCATTCTGAGTAAGTTTTCAAGAAAAGGATGAAAAGTTCTCTTTGTGAGAAAAATTGTCAGAATGCTATAAATTAGGGTTTTCGATGGAGTTTATGGGATGGAATTTCGTAGTATACCCGTGGAGGGAACCAAATATGAAAGCAATTGGAAGTAGTTTGACAGAAAGATGAAAATGACAGAAAAATTTGGATTTTGATATAGTTAAAGCAAAATGTGTCTTAATAAATTTCAGTTGAGTAAACTCTTTAGATGAAGAATTGATGGGCTATTGATAGTTTAATGGCTGATTGCAGAATTAGAAAGATGGAGAGAGAAAACCTAGAGTGCCTAGATCATTAGAGTTTATAGGAATGAGGAATCACTCACCATTAGCATGGTATGCGGAAAACTTACTCAAATGTCAGGTACAATTGTCTCTCTCACACACACATATAGAAACTATAGGGATGGCTAATCCTACAAGAACATGCAAAATGACCAAAATACCCCAACTATTGGGAAATACAAAAAATACTTGAAATTTATAAACTCTTTATTTGACCAATTGATTCCTGCCCTAGCCACACTCTTTTTTCTTGAAGGTTTTCTAATTCAGTTATATCCTTGTGGGAAATAACTCTATTTAGATTCTCCAATATTAAAGAATAAAACCTAACTGGTAAAGTGGTAAGGCAAAATAAAAGCTCAGAAAGTTGTGGAACTTTTCATTGCTCTAGACAGGTCCAAATGAGGAGCTATTTCATTAATTAGCTGTTGCAGGTAGAGTAACCACAACAATAACATGGTCACTCTAACCATCTAGCAGTCTCATCCTTTTGGATGATCAGTGTATATGAGTAGATCTCTTATTCCTTTTCCTCTTTTTATTTGTTTCTTTGACCGTTTGAAAGCATGCAATTTTTGGATAACTTGGATCAGCTGGCTGGTGTGGTATTATACTGTGGTGGCTATTCCTAGAGATTGACCTGTTGATTGGACGGTGTGGATAAATACAATAGCCTCTGGCTCAAGGGCAGGATGTTTCTATTTTTAGCAGCATTACAAACCACTGCTTCTTTTAGGTAAGCATGCTCAGAAAGCTAATACCAACAAGGTGTATATGTGAGTAAAATATTGGTATTGCTCTTCAAGAATGTTACTTGGCTTTTCTTCATTTACATGGTAGTGTCTTGTCAGATTAGAGAAATTTAACTACTAGCTTTAAGGAGGCCTTTGTCATGGCTGGATTGACGAACATGAGAAAAACAAAATAACGATTTTTTTTTTTTTAATTCTCTACAGGTTTTGGTATCATAGTGGTATATTGTATTAATTGAGGAAAGTGTTCATTGGTACTGAATCTTTAGGATTCAGTGGTGTGAAAAGGTCTACCTGTATGATCTTGGAGGCATGTGGTCTTGATGTCAAAAATGAACTGTCCATCATGAAAGTCTATCTTTGCATGTCCATGAAGATACAATATTGAACACATCATAAGATAGGTATTTCCAATAAGAATTTTAGTGTTGTAAAATCTGAGCATATGGGTATGTGTATATGCACATATTTAAATACCAGCCAATATAAACTCAAAGTACGTCGAGGGGTATCATAATATTAAAAGTTGTCAAGTTGAATTGGCTTTGTATCTTCTTCATTGTTCCAAGCTCATCTTGCTGGTGGTGGTTGTGGTGAACTTTTCTTTCTTTGGTTGAGGAAGACCATATTGTTGAGTAACATGGACGTACCACAGCTCCCCACTTGGATTTAGATCAAAGTTTTTGTATAAAAGGCCATATATATAGTCACCTTCTTTGCAGTAAGACCATGCATTTTTGAGCATTTAGCTCCACTTGGAATTAGTCCTTTGTATTCTCTTGCTTTATGCGTTTACTCTCTCTCTGTTTATTTATGCATTATTTCTCTTTACAGGACATGTGAAATTTGTGGTTCAATTGCACGCAATGTTGTTGGTGCAAACGAGACCGAGTTCATGGAGCAGTGGAATGAGACAAACAACCCTGCAGCAGCATCAGCAGCTGCAGCTGCTGCTTCTCCACCTTCTGAGACTCGAAGCTTCTGGCATGGCCACCGCTTCCTGAATTTTCTGCTGGCCTGCATGGTCTTTGCATTTGTCGTTTCTTGGCTTTTTCACTTCAACGTACCAGCGTGAAACACCATAAAGTAGATCCACTCTCCCTCTCCTTCAATGATGGATGAGAAGCAATCAGGCAAGTCTTAAAGCCTCAGTATCTGTAAGGGTAACTGCCCCTATACCCTTGTCCTTCAATCCTTGTCTAGAGTATATATGAATATTATCTATATTCCTTTCTTTTTTTACCAGTCTTATTCAGAGCATCCGCTGGCATATATTCGATGTTATATTCTTGTTGGTTTGCCTTTTTTAAGGGGACATATAATATTATATGTATCATTATTGCTTCCATTGTATGTCCTGGAGTGGTTTGTTCTTTTTTGTCTTTGTTCCTTTTCTGCTTTCCATATTCCAATGGTGGTCTGGGCAGACTGATTGCAGGGGGCGGCCCTCTCTCTCCTCAAGATAAGGTGATGCATCAAGGCAGCAAATCGACTTCTTGCACTAACCTTCAGATCAGAGCTCAGACTTTACAGTTATGGAGTAAGGCCAAGGGTATGCTTCATAATAACTAGTTCCACACATGCTATTATGATTTATGGTGAACGAGAGACTTCCCTTTATTTTTACAGTGGACATGACTTCTCAGAATCCTGGAACTAGGAATCCTCTTCTGGGTGTCTCCTCTTCAGGCCCATTTAGTTGCTTTTCTGTTGCACAGCAATTTTCTGTCAATACAGATTGCAGAAATGCAGATACACACGCACACATGGAAAAGGAAGATTGAAAAAAAAAAAAAAATCAACAAAATAAGATGGTCCTGCCTCCTGCGGAGCTTACCGCCTTATGTATCTATCCTACACAGAAATTTGTTATACCTTCTGTTTTCTTTATCATGAGCTTTCGAAAGGATATAATGCAACCAATGAAAATGCAGTAGCTTCATGTCTTGGGCCTCTTGGCCCAACTCAATGACGCCGAAGGGAAAAGGACAGACCAAACGGAAGCCAAAATGCCCATGCCATATATTGTCCCTTTATTGCACATGTATTTACAGAAAAGCCCTCGAATGTCGGTTACTTAGACAGACCTAGAGTCCCGTTGGTGCACCCTGATAGTTTTTTTCCCCGGCTAAGTTCAATGCTCCATCTTAGAGTTGAAATCCAAAATAAACTATATCCTTGAAGGTATTTTCCAACATGAGTTTTTTTTATTCTTTTCTTCTTTTTTCTTTTTTTCTTGTTTCACGAAAAAATAAAAAACTCACTATTGGATGTGTTTTTGTCTTTCCGTCATCATAGATTTTCATTTTCCTTTTCTCTTTCTCAAAACAAAATGTAGATTTTGGTATCATAGTCAAACCCTCAGTTTATTGGTTATAAGTTTTTCTGGTAGCATATCTTTTTGGCATCATAAGCGAACCCATTTTTTAATTAAAAAATCTTGTTTAAAAGGATGCAGAGTGCACATGTGGTCTGTTTAGTTTACGGGAATGGAGGGCTTGGAATAGGAACTAAAATGATCATTCTAACTGTCTGGTTGGGTGGAATGGAATTTCATTCCCATTCCTGTCGAAATGGCATTTCTCCATTTGAGAGAATTGTTATTCCTTTCCTCTCTAGAATGAGAGATCAAATCAACCCCCCACAATATCTCACAGTACATTTTCGCCGTGTATTGAGAACACTTCTCTATGATAATATCAGAAATGATGATATCATCATCAGGAGATGTTTTGAATACACAGCGGGGATGTGCTGTGGGACGTTGTGGGGGCTGGATTTGAACTCCTGGAATGAAATCCCATTACAGCTATTCTAATTCTGATTCTAATTCCTTTATGAACCAAGTAGGCTATGGGAATAGGCTATTCAGATTTTGATTTTAATTCCAATTCTGATTGTCAATCAAATGGACCTTCAATTCCATTCTGTATCTGAATACATGTTGCATTAAACACAATTTCAAACCACTAAGTCTGAACATGCTTTAAAAAATAAAAAATACAATAGTGCAATAATGTATTTTAGGTTTAAAGTCATGGTATATAACCAAGAAAATATTTTCTGGGTTTTTGCTTTTTCAAATTAGGTTACAGATCCGTGGGTTTCGGACTCTTCTTTTCCAGAAGTCAGTACTTGTAAGTTGTAACGGGGAAAAATTCAGACATGGGAGAACACCCCCCTTGGATTGTGATTATTCTCAGCTTATTCCAAGAACCCCTATAGCAAGAGTGAAGAGTATTCCTTTTTGACCCCTTGGTAAATGGGGAAGAAAAAGAACAGTAGTAAGGCTAAACGATTTTGAGAAAGATGATATTGGGAACACTGTACCTGTATGAACTACGAAGGATTTAAAGTTGTTAATAGGCAGAACCGCAAACGCAGAGCTGAGGGAATAGGGAGTAAGAGACGTTGCATTCCTGTGGGAATAAATAGTAGAAAATGTAATCGAAGAAGTTGCTTCTTGCTTGCAGTGGCCCGTCAAATCGAGATTCAGAAAGTTTCAGAGTGGTCTTTTACTTTTATTTGAAATTGAAAGTGCTTCTTTTGATCCATGCTAGCTTTCTTTTTCTTTCTCTTCATCAGTTGTTTTCCGGTAGAACACTAACACCGACCATATTATTTGTTTTGGTGAATAAAGTCGGCCTTTTGCCAAGGACCGAACAGAGTGTTGCATATAATCTGGCCTTAAAAATAAAAATTAGGGAAAATTCCCGATCAGTATCCTGTACTTTGGCTCGAGTGGCAATTTGATCCCCGAACTTTAAAATGCGATAATCCAATACCTGAATTTTCAAAATGTGACAATCTAGTACCTGTCCTTAACTAGTTCGTCAATCAGCCATTAAGTGACATTTGAAAAATCAAAAATACCCTTTAAGTGCCATCTAATTCTCTTTATTAATCATCCAAATATTGACAAAAAACTCAAGGGTCCCAAATCCTACCCTCTTCTATTCAAAAAAGTTGGTGACTGTTTAGAAGAATCTAGAATTTGGGACTGTTCATTTTATTGTCAATATTTGTATGGTTGATAAAGAGAATTAGATGGCATTCTTTGGGCATTTTTGACTTTTCAAATGTCACTTAACGGCTGATTAACGGACTGGTTAACGGCAGGTACTGGATTGTCACATTTTGAAAGTCCGGGTACTGAACTGTGGAAGTTTGGGGACTGATCAGAAATTTTCCCTAAAAATTATACCTCTTATAAAAAAGAAAGAAAAACTTAATAGGAGGAATAGAAATCTTTTGTCTCTAGTACCATTCTGTTGTGCATAATTTTGTTTTTCTCGTCAGGTTTAGGTGATGTTTGGCATCGACGATGAGTTCCTAAAAATCGACATCACGTGGGCCACATTAGAATTTGAAGAATCAGTGATTTTTTTCTTGTTTGATTAGTCGATTATGCCAATTTCTGGAAAATCAGCCAGAAATCGATTATTGAAATCAGCCCTTTTCAGTGATCACCTTTTCTGGTGATTTCTTGATTTTTAATGGATTCCGTTGTTTTGAGGAGGACATGGCATTGAATAATAACTCTAATACAAAAATAATCAGCCCTTGAAAATCAGTATCAAACAGACTCAAAATCGATTTCTTAAAAATCAATTTACATGGCATAAATAATAACAAACAACAATTTTTTATGATTTTTCAAAAACCACTAAGGTGATTTCTGGATAATTGAAAGGAAAAATCATTATCGATGCCAAACATCACCTTAGTATTGGATGTATTTTTTCATATGCACATAAATGGGGTTCGGGTTGACTGCCATATGGATAAATTGAAAGGATGCACATGGATGAGTTGAGGATCAACACATATGACATATCCCCAATTCAGAAGAGCGAGACTACGCTGATGCGGCGCATTGCCATTTAACCTATGAGCCGATGGTGAAAACCGCAAGTCTCAGATTAGATAAAGACATGTAGTGAACACCAAGGGACTCAGCCTAGCCAACCACTTCACTCTCTTGACTGACTTGAGTGTTGGAGACTTTGGAGTGTTCCTCTTCACAAAACCACCTTAGGAACTTTAACCTTCTATGTGTGCAAGTCGTTGAATCCAGCACTTGTTCAACACTTAATTCATTAGGACAGATTATCTGCTATTTTTCAACGTCCGTTTGAACGTCAGATACCCTGAATTTTAATAAATTGACTTCAATATATGTCAAAGTTTTCTTTTAAATTTTCAAAATATACTGAATCTTTCAAATTCATGCATATGGTGAGCAACTGCAACTCAGATAAACTCTAACCATATAGCATCCAACTGCACATTAGAAATATCACACAATCATGTATATTAATTAATAAAAGTAGCAGAAGGAAAAGGAGGAGGTCAATTCAGGATTGCAATAAATAGAAATCGCCCCCAGTGAAAAAGTTGTTCTGTATGTTGGGCCCACGATGAGGTAAGAGAACACTTTGAAGTTGAAGGAGCATAACACAACCAAACAAAATAAACCAAACGAGTTCATTTCCAACAAAATCTAAACCAATTCCAATATACCATTAGCAACCTGAAAATGAAATACATCCAGTTTAGAGGTGAACCTGCCGTACCATACAGTGGGACGTTGGGTAATAGCGTGATACTTCCATAATTCAACTTGCATAGCATGGACGACTGCAGAATCCATATCTTTTGACTCGATTACAGCTATTGCTAATTTTTATCACAACGTTTACAAAATCAATGAGTGATCAAAGTGAATTCAATAGCTAGGGTTACCATAATCAGATTGGATTAATTTCACTTGGAATGTATTCCTGAAGGGATTTACCTGTTGGTGGCACTGAGTTTTTGTTTACCCTTAAATTCTGAAGCCGACAAACGAAACATTCAAGGAAGAAGATTTATCCCAATCATTATAAATGGAAGAAGCATGCAGGAATGTATCACATAAAAAGAGAAACTTCATTATCAAAAAGAGGTAACATGTGAAATAGAGTTTCTATTTATGCTGTTTCCTGTGGCTTTAAATAGACTGATATCAAGGTGCAAAAGAAGGTGGCAACACTTTCTATTTTATTATTTGATTTTCATGTCTTCAACAGTTTTACTTGTTCTAAACTCAGCAACAGCGTTGTCAAAAGTGCTCCTCACATGCTGGCACATAATCATGAGATCCTGGAGTGCATCTTTCAATACTTCTTTTGCTGGATCACCTGCAAAACCCAAATAACAACAAATGTTGTCTCAGTTAATGTTCACTCTTTTCAATGGAAAAAACCTTAACTGGAACTCAGACACCAAAATTCAGAAAAGGCAAAAGAGAAATTGTCCCCTAATAAAATCTTTGGCTTATTTAAGAAAGAAGTTTGCTAAACGGGTGGAAAATAGCTTCTAATAGGAGCCCTTGTTAATGCTGGAAACAGATTGACAAGCAACCATGCTTCAGACATCCCAATTGCAACCAGATGGACACCTCAACTTTGCATGCTGATAAGATCAACCAGAGGCATATCAACTATGAAGTGGAATGGCAGAGTAACAGCTGTCTGCCTCTGCAAAGAAAATGCATAAATAGGCTTTATGTCTGTCATTTAGCATCAACTAATAACATTCCACTCTTAGGATACAACAGTAAGTACTTCATATCCATTCAGAGATACTCCAGGCGAAGAGGATAAAACCCCAAAAAAGGCTTGTTTAGCACTTACATTTCATGAGTGATTAAGCAATGTCATATGCCTACTCCTGAAATCATATTAGTCATTTTTGAGTGATAACATTTCTAATAATGAATCATCTAACAATCACTATTGGGTAAACAATTTTGTATCAGGTTTTAGCCAAGGTTCAAAGTATCGATATGATATGCCCCATATTGGGTGTATCGTGTTGTATCTTTTGGTCTCAATACACCTATTTACAAGTGTTTCGGGACCCCCCATTTATTTCAATAAAAAAACACTTAAAAAACATCTCTAAAAATCATATTTTGAAAAAAAAAACTAAAAAAAACATTGAGCGCTTTTTTAGTACCGATACGCCCCTACCAATACACAGGGGCATATCGATACTTTGAACCTTGGTTTTAGCAGGTAGTTTTGCCACATTTTCTGCTGCATGGCCTACAAAAATCTTCATGTGAAGGATCAGACTGGATCATGAACTTACAAGTGCAAGAAGTGGTTCTTTTCATCTCATCAGCAATATCCGGTTGGGAGCATTTTTTTTAAGTTCTTTAACAAACATCAAACTCTAGAAAATTGGATTCCTTCTCCTTCAAGAACCATGAAACTTTAACTTTGATGGATTGTTTACTGTTAAATCTAGAAATTAGAAGTTAGAGCAACTTGTAGAGGCCATGATGATGAGGTCATTTTGGTCTCCTGCAGGCAAATGGGAGAAAGGGAGATAGTCAAGTGTGTATAGATTGGGTGCATGATATTTCAGAGGGCCCTTAGAAAGGAATAGGTTGGGAGATCACATTTATAATGTGGAGCTACCAGACCCAGAGAAAGAATTGTACATGGACTACCCTCTGGTGGTGTTTGTTCAGTACTGACTATTGTACATCAATGATAGTTTGCTCTCAGATATTAGAACATCCTGCCCGATTGGCAGGGGTTTCTCTTTGCATCATAACATTAAAGGAGTCAAGTGAGGGCATTTGATAACTGCCTAATGGATTAGCTTGAATGACTTATTGCCTTCATCTTTTAGTCAAGAAGTCATTAAGTAGGTTGAGTGCTCCTTAATGGCTGAATGACCATCTGGCCTACCCCCGGAATAGCATTTCATTTTTTTTTTTAATTTATTTTTCTTTTAGAATGATGTGGTGGTGCCTAAGCAGCACCGCTAATGATAGAAGTTTTTCCACAACCAGATTATTATCTGCTTAAGATCCAAACCCCACTCTGATTGCTATATGTTCTATCTAACATAAATTCACTGGTAAAAAGTTAATCTTCAGGTGAGATGCTGAGGCCCCTTGTTGAAACACAACCCTTATTTATTTTGTATTTTGGTAGCCCTTGTGATTTCCTTTTGATAAAAGAGAAGGTAAAATTCATTCCAAACAGAAATATAGTACAATAAATTCAGCAGGGGCAAAACCCCTGTAGCACTATAACATTAATCTCTCACAATATTACATTCTGCAACAGCTCCCCCACCCCCACCCCCAAAAGACTGACCCTGAAATTCTTTGGACACTTACACCCATGACCCAACTCTTCTCATGGATAGCCTAACTGGCTCATCCACTGCCTTACACCGATTATAGAAAACCCCCTCCTGTTCCTCTGTGACCACAGGGTCTGAACAATCAGCTGGGGCCAGCTCCCAGATCTGCTTACCTTTCCTTCTAAAACTCTGAACCACCAAGCAAGCAGCACCTCCTTAAGGGTCCTAGACTCCTAGGCATCACCCAACTCAGACCAGCCACCTTAATGAGCCACCTCACAATGTATAAATAGGTGATCCACACATTCCTGCACCAAACCACATAGTCCACAAGAGCAGTCTTCATTCTGCAAGCCCCTTCTTGTCAAATTTTCCTTTGTGAGGCACCCACCTACCCACAACAGCCGTCCACACTAGGAAACCCACTTTTGATGGCATCCAGCATCCTGGGCTTCCAAATCACATGGCAAGGAAAATCAGATTGCCAAGGTAACAGATGTTCCTCACAAAAGGATCTGACAGAGAAGACACCACTTTTCTCCCATTTCCATTGCCATTCATCAACCTGCCCCGGGCTGACATTTTGAGACCTCAACAACTGCAGCAGCTCTAACACCTACTGCAACTCCCAGGGATGACAATTTTGGTTGCCCTTGTGATTTCTCTAACCCTTCCCTTAAGTTTATTAGACAGTGGATGGATTTTACAATTGAAATTTTTGCCTTGACAAAATAAAGTTTATTTAGATTCCAATTAAAAGGTCAACAATATTGACAACATGGCAGTTTCTGAGGATTTATCTCTCTGTATTTGTCATCATTCATCAGTTTCACTCAAAGATCAAATAGTTTGTGGTTTCTAATATTGAGAGTTGGCAAGGCCTATGAGATTTAAAGCAAGCAATCTCCCAGGATGGATGCAAAATGGCCCTGAGAAAAAAGATAAACTGCCTGAAACAAAATTTATGTAATACCAGTTGTCTGGACCCTTATGTTGACCCGAGCATCTGAAGGATGAGGAATGCTGTACCCGCAGAACGTCACCCTTGGACTATAAAAAGAAAACAAAGAAAGTAATCAGAAAAATAATAATTAATACTTAGATAGATAAAAGTGTTAAAGAGACATTAGTGTAGCCATCCCCATATAGTGGGGACAATGCTTAGTTGAATTGACTTGAATAAATGCATCAAAGACTAGAAACAACCATGCAGGTGCTTGTCAGATATCCAGGCTAAATGATGCACTATAACTAGGAGATAACTGTGAGCTCAATTTCAATGAGTTTTAATAAAAAGTACAACAGTCTTACCGAGCAAGGTTCAAAATGTTGTCACGTATTGGTATGTATCATATTGGTGGGTCACCGATACGCGAAATAAGGGGAGTTTTGGGGTGAGACCTGTTTCAGGGGGTAGCCAGGCATTTAACCGACCCACCTGAACATGTTTGGGGAAAAAAAAAACTAAAAGAAAAAGTGAGAGAATGTTGATACAAAGTCCAATAAGCCCAATTCGGTGTATCGGATTGTATCAATACATCAAACCTTGTTACCTAGGGTTTCAATCCCAGTAACCTGAAAATGTACAGCTCATTTTTCTATTTGTTTAGTATGATGAGAAGAATTACCTTCAGAATGCTGATGAAAAGAAATTATTGTCCTCAGAGTATGTCAATCAAAATACAACTCACATACTTCGGATAAGTACATGATCAGTTTAAATGATATATTTTTATCAGGTCATTGCCCTTGACAAATAAAACCATAAGACAACAGGGGTTGCTTAATGTATTTGAATGAGAAAGAACAAAAGGAGAGCATACAATATAGCTATCAACAGTCAAATGATTAGTTCAAGACATCTGTAGACATAGACCATTAAACATGTGATTAAAGCAGCAAATCACAAGTTCAAATCAAGAGAAAAAAGTAATTGAGATAGAATACAAACATGTGTACTAAAATACACAGATTGTATGGAATTTAAAAGGAAGCCTTTTTTTTTTGAAAAGGTAAGGTAAAAATTTAGATGGACTGATGGAAAGAATCAAAGACCAGTGAGTGTTGCTTAATACATAAGTAGCTTTACATGTATTTAAGAATACTAACTCTTGATTCAAGGTGAATCTGACAGAGTTTGCCAAAGTGTGATCCTCATCGGCCAAAGAGAATGTTGATGCTGTTAGATCCTTGCTGGACCCATGTTCCATTGCAAACAATTCTTCTGCAAAGAAAATAATAAAAATCAGGAAAAAATAGATGTTCTTAATAATGTTTTTACAAATTTGTTAATTTGTTATTTGCTAGACAGAATTCTTGGTATTTAGATCTATTTGTTTAACCAGTAAAGCTACTCTCACAGAAAAGAATCTGAACCCTAAATCAACCATCTCAGTTAGGTTTCTATTACAAGCTTATTAATAGGGTTTCTCTTTCTCCCCTTCATCTAAGATTATAAAGATTGGAAACCAAAATGATCAAAATTCTGTTACATATACCTAAGAGAGGAAAAAACTGTTCTCAATTTCCTCTCTTCCAGTCTTCCTTGGTATGGAATGAGAAACAAGAATGAAGCTTCCGGTTTTCCTGTTTCTCCCCTAATCATATGTTTCCACTTGTTACCTTATCAATTGTCATCTTTTTTCTTTCCTTTTTTATTTTATTCATCAGTAACCTATCAATTGCTCAGTTCCAGTTGAGTAATCATTACCTTCTGACCTTGTAGATGTCTAAGGTGGAGCTTGTCCTAATCATGGTTCAGAATCTCCTTGCACATGCAATGTGTCCCAACATTGATCCAAAGATAAATCACACACAACGGATTTAGCAGTGTCTTAAAACCAGTATACTTAGAAAATCAGTAAAAGGTTGACTCGAGTTAACTTGCAATCCATCTGAGTTAACTGAGATTCTGCCAAGTTAAACATTATATATCATGGTTTTAAAAAACGAACCGGTCAGGGGTCCGCTTACCGGTTTGAACGGCCCGACCGTTTGACCCGAACGGCCGGCCCATTCTGACAAAAAATTAAAAAATTGAAAAATGGTCAAAACCGTTCGAACGGTTAACCAGCCGGTTCAGCGGTTTGCTGACCAAAATCAACGGTTTTGGGGGAAAACGGAACCGGTCAGGTGACCGGTTCCCGGTTTTTCCGGTCCAGTCCGGTTTTGAAAACCATGTTATATTTTATGTATTATGTCTTACATTGCAATATTACATTATCAGAGCCAATGGTCTGTGACCTGGTGCAACCCCCACTTGTTTTTCCACACAACTTGTGTAAAACATGTGGAATTCAAATCCTCCCTCCCTCCTATGTGAAATCCTAATTTCTCTCTTCTCCCTCGTCCAAACGTAAAGCTGTCTAATGTTCTAAAACTGCTATCGGATTCTCCCAGTTTACTTGACTCTGAAACTGCTGTCTGAATTCTCCCATCATAGTTCCTACTCATTCCTTAAATCCCTAATCTCTTAAAATAAATACCACATGGACAATTGTGTTGGCCCCAATTACTCAGAATTTTCTCCTTAAATATTTCCCATTGAACTCTTAATACCAATGTTTAAAAATGCAGGGGTATGAGGCAAGGCAGGACTTCCAGATGTCTGAGACGTAAACCTCAAGACACATTTTTAAGGAAAAAAAAATAATACAAGGGAAGTATATAACATGCAAAAGAAGAATACATCTTTATGTTGGAAAAACATAAATGAATAAATGATCATATAAACAAAGGAATTTCGAACTCAAGTTCTTTGGAACTTGAATCAAACAATAACACTGCTTTTGTTTGTATGTGTGTGTGTGTAACATAAACAAAAGAGTGAACATGGCATGTCCGTCAGAATAAATCTAACAAACACTTTCTGGAAAGTTAATAAGAAGAGACTATTCAAATCTTACAAGTTCTTTTGAACCAAACCAATAAAAGCATCAAATTTGGTCGGTGGAACCAAACTTGATGGAAATACATTCATCGTCTTCAGGAACTATCTGGAAAGGTTACCAGAAGAGACTATTCAAAATTTTAGAAAGTTCTTTCGAAAAAAAGAAATTAGTAAAAAGTATGAAATTTTCGTCGGTGGGACTGAACTGGTTGGAAACACATTCATCTCCTTCAAGAACCAGTTTACCCATGACTCAACAAAAATCATAAAACAAATTTTGCAAATGAAGAGAAGAAAACATAAGAACTTTCCTGCAACATTCGAATGATTGGAATAAACTAAAAAAATGCAAAACTAAAAACAACAATCAGATATGAATAAAGCTTACAACGTTTGAAAGGTTTGAAGTTAAGACTTGTTCGGCTGTACTAACGGTCTCTTCCGAGTCACCGGTTGCCAAGCTCAGGAACGGTGGGAGAAGTCTAGCAGAAGTTAGATAACTGCGGGCTGCGGCGAGAGAGAGAGAGAGAGAGAGAGACACGAGGTTTTGGTCTGAGACCCCAATCTCTAATTTTTGACAAATTACATTTATACCCCTTATTCAAGCGTCTCACGAACACACGTATTCGAAACTTTGAAGTTACCGTCGGAGTACGCGCGTTTCTCTTAACCATTTCTTTTTAGAAGCGAGAAATTCTTAAATCTTTAGGGGTAATATTGGAAATATTGTATAACATACCTAAGGGGGGATTTCATTAGCCGATTAGGGCATTGGCTGAACCTGCACGAAGTAGGATTGTAGGAAATAGTCGACTGGGGAGAGAGACAGGCCTCCGAGAAACGAAGACCGCCGAACATCTCAACTCTTAACATCTAAGTGTAAGTCCACTCCATCTTTTATTTTTCTTCATTATCTTCTTCTTCCAGAGGATGGCAAGACTGTGTAATATATGATGCAGCAATTAGTTGGTATGAGTTCTAGTAGATTCAATGCAGAAATCTGTTTTAGGTTTTTCTCTCCCTTAAATTATGTTAATCAAAGAATTTATCTTCATGTAGATACCCATAACAGAAGACAGAGCACCGACAAAAGTCTTCATTTTTCGCCTCCTCTGCCCTTTTGCTCTTTCTCAGAAAAGGCCTCTCCATTACGGAATAGTAGGCATGATTAGGAAATGGAACCATTATCTCTCTATAAGATAACTTTTAGATTGAAAACCAAGAAAAGCTTTCAAAATGGGAAAATAGATACGAGTTCTGAAGTTAGTCTTTCATTACTACATAAAGATTTATTTCTAATCTATGAATAACGAAAGAAAAGATGTATATAGATAAAATTGAGAAATACACCTATAGTTAAAGTGTACCGGCCCCTGCTTGATCTCTGGGTGTAGATCAATGAATAACTAAATTCTTGTCTTGTTTCACAGGACTTGCCAATCACCACGTTGAACTAAAACTGAACTTAAAGTTCTTTGCCAACTGCCCTATATAACATTGCAAGTACAAAATTAGATCATAGTTTTTAAACTCATCAAGTCAAATGAAAACTATGATATGGTGTAAACAGAGTATGGAATGCTTTTAGTTGACATAAAACAGAATATAGAATGATGGTTGGGATCTTTTTCCTCAAATAAGCTGATAAAAAAATTAGTTTCCTTAGACTATGAATACAAGATCATGCATTAAAGACTAGTAAACTTTTTATGGTTACAATGGGTTTGTTTTCTGAGTTGTTTTTGTTTGTAAGGCTGTTCCACAGTTATTCTTATCAAAAAGTTCACCAGTCATACCCTTTACGTTTGAGTTGCAATTCAGATTCCAATATATAAATAAAACTGTTGGAAAAAGATGCAAAAAAAGCTAAGACAATTGGGGTCTGAAACTGCACAATTTGCCCATGTTCATAATTTAAAAACCTTTTTATTTGAAGCTTACAGCCCGCCCCTCCCAGATACCTTTAGCCTTTCAAAACCTTGCTTGTAGGTTTTGTTTCTCTTACTGGCTCTGCTTTGTGCCCGATCAGATCCCAAACCCTAAGAAGATAAGTTGAACCAGAAGCCCTGAGTTATGAGCTTCACAAGGAGTAAGTTCATTTCATTTAGTCTAGTTCTGAACTGCAAAACATCGAATGGGAAATCCTAGAATCTAGAATCATCATATTGTAGAGCCTAAAACCCTAATGCAACTAGTAAGATGGTTTAATTCATTGTGTAATAGATTGTGTAACAATCTGAACTTTCCATAGCTTCTTTGAGTGCTTTTTTCTATTCTACTAAATTCTCCATATCTTATGGTTTTCTCTTTTCTTTCATTTTCAGGTCTGATGGCTGCCAACAATGCCCCGACTGAATTAGACAAAGAACAGGTATTTTGACTGTTATTATGCGAATAACATATCTGCTAAGAAATAACAAGCTGAAGTAACTTGAATGTCAATAATCATCGTCTTGGCCTGTCTCATTTTATGTGTTGATTGAACTAGATTTTCATCAAGTTCATCAATTGCTTTTATAACTAATACAGATGCAGATTGATTGCATATTGCAGATGTTTCAATTTTCTCTTTTTCTAGGCATATTGATTTTTTTTTTTTTTTTTGAAAGAAGACAACAAAGAAACTAAGATGCTGACTACAAAGGCAGACTTCTGTCGCTATACAAAATATCTCTCAGAATCCCTGACTTAGCTAGAGCATTTAGATGTCTTGGGATCAAAAGTAAAGATACATTCGTAGAATCTAAAAGGTCCCTAGCCTCATACAGAAATGAGCAAGCCTCCAAGGACCACCTTCTTTCATTCTTAACCAATTTATAGTGTTTATGGAATCTCCTTCTATGGTCAAATTCAAGATGCCCAAACAGTTGGCAATTTGGATTCCAGTAAGAGAATATCAACTGACCCAATAGGGCCACTAAAATTCCAACAAACCCACCCTGACCTGTCCTGATCACAACCCCAATGCCAGCAGCTCCAGGGTTGCTGAGTGCACTGCCATCAAAGTTTAAAGTTGTAACTCCTCATCTAGGGACTGGACCAGAATAGTGAGGCAAAGTTAGTGGGCATATTGAAATATTGTTAGGTAGTACAATGTACCTTGTATGCCAATGCTTTCCTGCTGTCATGTAATTGAGAGCCTTTATTATATGTTGTACAAGTGATGATGAATAATTAAAAACTTTGTATGTTGTACAAGTAATGATGTCGATAGTAGATAGTTATAGTTCATTTAGGTTTTATTCGGTTTCATGATGCTAAACTATATATCAGCGAAATAAATTATATGTCAGATTTCCTCTCACGTAAGTCCGTGCTTAGAAGCTTACTTTAATATTCATGCAGATCTTTGGGATGGCAGAGAAAGAAATGGAGTATCGGGTGGAGCTGTTCAATAAGTAGGTTGATGTTTTACAACATGAAACCATATACATGTGTATTATTCTTTCTGCTGATTTTGGGGCCATCATTGTAGTTAATTTGAAAATCATGATTTGATGAGCTTTTCAAGGGACTGGGTATTACAATTAATTAATGAGCCACCGACAATTCTGTGTTAAATGCTAAGTTCCATTTTGGTACTAAACTATTTTTTATCTGTTTTTGTTATTTCATTCAGGCTTACAAGCACATGTTTCAATAAATGCATTGACAAGAGGTATGCTTGATTATATTTTTGAAGTATGTGTAGAGATTTTTAACACAGTTTGAGGACTCTATGTGTTGTGATACAATTAATTCCAAAATCAGTTCATTTCAATATATACGTATATAGACAAAGGATCCTAAAAGAGGCTACCACCTGAACCTGAAGTCCCTTATTGCTACTCCAGGTACAAGGAAACTGAGCTCAATATGGGGGAAAATAGTTGCATTGATCGATGTGTTTCGAAATATTGGCAGGTAAACTATTTGTATATCTATTTGCATTTTTAGTACTGCTTGTGCTGGACATTGGATTGGCTGGCCCTAACTATATATAGATTTTAAATATTGATTCTACACCTGTTAAATTGCTAGTAAGTTTTCTCTTTCACACCTTTCTCTGCAGAAACATTGGAAAAAGAATCATTTCATACTTGCACAGTTGCACTTGCTTCTGTTTCTTATAGATTTGTTTTCTTTTTCTCTTTTTCATCCCCCTTGGTCTCCAGGCTGATTTTGCTAGCATATGTGCCTCCCTCTATAGGCAACTATTTAATTAACTAAAGATACTATTTTCATCATATTTGCCCAATTTCTTTTAAATTGACTAGGCATATGTAGGATAAACAATGCTGGATGTTGAGAATCTCTTTTCATGACAACACTTTTGTTGTTCTTGTTACTCCCTGTGATGATGCACAGAGCTTTCAAGTTTTTTTAATATTCATCATCATCCAAGCCTTATCCCAGCTATATGGGGTCGGCTACATGAATCCTGTTTTCCCATTCCGTTCTGTTTAATGTCATATCAATTGTTAAATTATCAGTGCTTAATTTTTTTCTTACAGTTCTACTCATGTCCTTTTTGGCCTACTGGCCCTTCTAGTTCTAGCCCCTTCAATTGGCATCAGATCACTTCTTACAGGTGCTTCTATGCATGTAATCAAACGGTCTTATTCTTCTCTCGTCTACCTTAGCATATGCATTTCTAGTTTTTTAATGCAATTTGTTATTTGTTCCTTCAAAAAAGAAGACCCTACCCTTTCTTCTGCACTATGTTCTCTTTTCATTGTTAGCAGAGCGCATAGACCTTCATGATTGAGTCAGTTGCTTCAGTTTTCCATTTCCCTCTCTCAACAAGTAGGTCAGCCAGGAATGTTACATTGGTTGGTTTTACCTGCATTGTGGTGTTGCAGTATGAATGTGATATTCTTCTTTTCCAAACAAATGGATAATATTTATTATGGATCTGAGCAAGTGGGTTTATTTATTTTGTAGGTGACAAATTTAATTGGACAGCTTCTTGGTTCAAATCGCCCCCCAATGTAAAGTCAGTTTTGGTCTGCTCTGGTTTGAATAATTTATGTTCTCTTTTTGTTTTCATGTTTTCTAATCATTATTGCTTCTAGGAGTAGAAGCATCGAACTGAAAATTATAAAGCAGGTTTTGCTTTCCTATTTTCTCCTTGAGAAGTCCAACCTTTGAGTTGCTTGAAATAGATTAGTATTAGTTGCTGCCATAAAACAAGAAACTTACACAAATTTTGTTTTCTTGTAAGGAATTTGGAGTTTTTCTCATTGCATAATATTTTTAGTCCATAAGTTAAGAAATATCTCCAAAAGTTGCATAATTTTGTTTTCTTGGAACTTGTACCAAGCCTCATATCATCGTTCAGTAGGCTAAAGTTATTGGCTGATCGATGCATATGAGACTCACTCCCCTCCTGTTTGGTTAGACCCATGTCTCTCTTTGGTTTCTTAGTGCTTTTTTTTTTTAAATCAATTATCAGAAAAAAAAAAGATGAAAAGGTATACCAGAAGGTCCAAAAGGTACATTACATAAGAACAAAGATTTTTTTATTTTTTGAATTAAGAATTGGGAATAGTTAATTCATTCAGATTCGATGTCAGCGACAGCAAGAGTAAAAGTAGGGAGCTTGAACTTTTCGGCAATGGGCAAATTGAAAATGAAGCTCAACACAAACTCTTAGGCTAAGTTTGGTTTGAAGGAAAAGGTAGGGAAAGGTAGGAAAACTTATACAAGGTTTGTAAAGATTTCCCTATCTTTCCCTGCTTTATCCTTCAAACCAAACACAGCTTTAATTGATGTCCCGTCCGAGAACGGGCATGGTTCCCGATGCTCTCTCTCTGACTCCACGGAACAGCAATGGAACCAAAACATTCAATATCGATCTCATATTTACAATTCCAAAGGGTATTCTCAGTCCAATGATGAAATCCAATCATCTAATGGACCAGTGGGTTATTCTTTTGGAGCATAGTAGTGGCTAAAATCCCTACTATTAGACTTGGATGAGGATTGCTTGAGCAAATTTGAATGGTGTTGCCTGTTATATGATTTGTGTATTCGCATTTGTTACAACGGGTACTACGTACTATGTTCTCCTAAGGATTTCAGCATCACGCTAATACCGAACAGAACTTTGCTTTTGTGTCTAGCATCCCGAGTTCTGAGTATTCTGACCATGAAACCACAGTCAATTGAATTGTTCAAATGGAAGGGCACTCAATCCAGGGGCGTTGAGAAACGAATCCATTAATGCGACAGCCACATTCCAAAGTTCATGATGTGACTTACCTTCGCGGATTAAGTAGCATCATCATAACAGCTTTTTAGAGTTCAAAATTCGATTTCTTGCGAGAAGAGGAAAATGTGCATACATCAAGCAACTAGATTGTATTTGGTTCATTCGATTTATCCAGACCCCAACAAAGTAACTTTCCATTGTAGAAATGCTTTTAGACAAAAATTAAAATCAAGAAACGGGTAAATTTGATGTGAGATGAGACTACAATCCCCCATGACAAAAGAAAAGGATGAAAATGAAAAACAAAGAATTAATGGTGACAATGTAAAATAAACATTAGAACCAACAAAAGCTTTTCAGATTTTGGAAGAGTCCTCACGTGTGCCAAAAACTCAGAACTGAGAAGGATCCTTAAAAAATGGAAGAAGATAAATACAACAGCGAAGAACAAAGAGAACAAAGTTAACTAGGAAAAGAAAGCAAGAAAAAAAGAACCAAAAATCCTATACATTTTCAGTTTCTTCTATTCATTTTTGCCTCTAAAGCTGTACCGTCCTTGAGGGTTTCTTGAGCATCAGTATCCATCCCAAGACTGAAGAGAGAAGCTGCTTGAAGATAGAAAGCAGTAGGCCACTCAGGGGATATCACCTGGGCTTGCATAGCATCTCCAAGTGCTTCTTGTGGCATGTCACTCATCAGGTATGACAAGCAGCGTCTAGCAAACACGGTTGGTGATATCATGGTCCCGCCATCAATAAACTGCACAACAATCAGATCAAAGGTGCATTTACATCCATACTGAAACAATAATGATAACAACTCCATCAAAAAGAGAACAAGGTTTTTGAATCGATGATGCAAATAATAATAATAATAATAATAATAATAATAATCCAATACCATGTCCATGATATTGCATCATCTAAGAACAAGCTACACTCTTTTGAAGTGATGAAGATATTCTAGAACAAGGTTTTAAATCAACAACTCAAGTTCATCCAAACCCAGTACTTCCTTTGTGTGTGTGTGTTTTGGCAAAGAGAGATTCATTGCAAAAGAGCCAAATTACAACACTTCCCTTGGCTTGTTACAAAATAAGTGTTTATCAAGCCGTGGGGGTGGGGGTGGGGGTGGGAGTATTAATATGTACTATTTCACAAGTCAAAAAGTTGCATAGTCCATATAATTTCTTCTATCAACGCTTGTTGCATCAAGGTTCAAAGTATCGACGTAGGCTGGCATATCGGCCTGTATCAGTGCTTTTTTTGTTTTATTTTTTTTTTCAAAACCAGTTCAGAGGGATTGGTTTAAGTCCCGGCCACCCTCTGAACCATGGTCTGACCCAATACAACCCCTAGAGGGGCGTATCGGTAAGCAAGATCTTTGGCATCCACGCTGAACCTCTATTTCCAATATTTCCTAGATCAACTAGTTTATGGTCTTGAAAGAGAAGGTGCTGGAAGAAATGACGTTTCTTTGTACAGACTATAAAAGGTACTCTTTCATGTCTCTATCATTCGTAATTGTCAATGAAGAAAATGTGTCATTTTCTTTTTTGTTGGAAAATCAATGAATAAAACGTGTTGAACATCGGAACTTTCTGGTGCAAACTTGTTGATCTAAGCATGTGCCAGAAATCTAATTTTAGTCTAAATTCTAGACTATGTTCCATGCTTTTTTTTTGGTCAGACTTTCCGATAAATGTCTGATAATTTGTTGGTATCTGATGCAGATATACTTTTGCAGCTTGCCTAGCCAAATGGAGTTTCTGCTTAAAAAGATAAAAGTTTAGTGGAATTCCCAAGCAAAGGACTTACCTGTGTATAACAATCAATGGCAGTTGCAAAGTCTTTGGCACGAAATGCAGCATCTCCCCGTTTCTTAGAATTCAAAGTTTCTTGCATTTGATTGGTCCACATCTGAAAAGAAAGCTGCAGGATATGCAATAATCATCAATATTAACAGTAAAGTGACATAGGGAAATTCAGTTCAAGTAATAATACAAATTAACTTATAATCTTATACAATAGAAGTTAAATTCAAGTCTCAAACTCAAATTTCAGTATCTTTCATGGTAGATCAGTACCTATTTTTTCCTTTTCCTTGTAATTTAGAATGTCTATACATGTGTCCATGCATGTAACTGAAGGAAAAATGTGTTTCAAATGCTCTGATTGCAAAATAGAAAGGCACTAGCACTATAACAGAAGTCATTATTCTTAGTCGGGAAAGTTACACTTGCTGGCCTGCTGAGTCATTTCACAGGCTTAAAAGAGCAGCATGATAGATTTCAAAAAATAAATAAATAAATACTAGTTTGGTTTTTCTTTTTTGAAAAGGTAGCATTAAATTTTATTAATAAAAAATAATAGTTAAATGGAAAACCACTTAGAGCTACTGCTCATGAGAAATAGAAAGTAGATTTCAGGATAGATGGTCACTAACCTCATTGGCAACACCCTCATCATCTTTGTACCCAACCTTCTCTAATATTTCATGTATGGCAGTAAGATCCTTTCTGGAACATGCTTCACCTAAAGGTGTTAATGACAACTGTGATTCAGTTCCTTGTGGAATACCCATCAAGACAAATGAAGAGACCTGCAAAATAACAAGAAATGAGAATATATATGTATTTTTCCAAAAGTGCCAACAGCACTGTGCATAAATAAAATGTTTGTCCAACTATTACTTTAATGACAATTGTAAACTATAAAGACTAAATAAGAGAATTTGATAGGATAATATAGTATATATCCTTAACAAGTTATGAGACTTGATGAGGAGATTTACACCATAACAGAACCTAAAAGAATCAGAGTTTCTTTAGATTGAAAACAGAATTGGGGCAAGGAATCTTCCTAGCCCTGCAATTTCAGAATTTTGTAGTTTTGTCTCCAAAATTAGAAAAAAAATATATCCACAAGGTAGCAGATGTTTAGGCATTGTTTCAAACATTTTAGTGCACTATCATTTTTGCTCAAGCATGCAGACACGGGTTGGGTGGTTAAATGTTCAAAACAGATTACAGTAATATTATTTACCTCTGTGTCTTTCTGAAGTGAAGCAAGGGCAGTCACAAGGGACTTCACATTTGGCCTTTCACGAGGTTCATACTGTAAACAACGAGAAGCTAATCGAACCAATTCAGTTCCATCATCATTAGAAAAGTGACCCTCCAAACAAGAATCTATCAACATCAAAAAATTCTTTCCACGTATTAAGTCAAGTGCCTGAAAACAAATATATATAGTTAGTCCCATCTCTAATTTTAGAAGTTTTATTTTAAGAAAAGCACTGGCATTTAATGTTAGCAGAATACATTCCCATGCATGCATGTGTAAGCACCTATGACTAAGTATGAACATAGATGGTTAGACCCAATTACTTAAGACAAATGCACACGTGCAGAGGATTCTGTCATTCTGATATGCAACCAGTTTGAGCTTTGCTGAATGTTTTTTTGCATTATGGGCCAGCAGAGCATGTATTTATTTGCCCTTAAGGACATTCTTTCAGCCTTCCCAGCAAATGAATGGTAGTTAAGATGCTAATAGTTCTTAGTTCAATGTTGTCAAAATCTTACAATTTATGATACAATTCACAATTTGAATCATAAATCCCATGGGTTTTTATTCGAATCTTAGGTCTGAATCCTTTTCTGTGAAAATCTTACAATTTTTGTTTGAATCCTACGTTTTGATTCATAAACCTTACAATTTATAGAATTTCTATGATTCAAATAAATTCAATTAAGGATTAGTTCTCTACTTTGTTATTCTTTTTTGTTTATATTTAGTTTTGCCAAGGGAGACTTTTTTAAGTCTTACTAGAAAATGATTTATGTAGATTATTTAAGACTAGAAATTGAGTTTATTTTCCATCATATGTAGGTTAAAGAGCCATTTTTAGATTTGTTTGGTTTTTGAGTCAAATTTGATTATATCATCTTAGGTTTCTATTGTATAAGTGGTAAATTCTATCATTTTAAGTACATATACAGTAGATATAGATTAAAAATAGGGTAAAGACACTTTCTTTTTTTTGATAAATAATAGGGTAAAGTCACTTTCCTATATATATTTAACATTTTAATATATCTATATTTAATTTATGATATGATTCACAGTTCAATTTGATTCTGTAGTGAGAATGGGCCGAATGGGCCTTAGTGTTCTTTATTTCTTCTAAGTAGTATTTAAAAGTTATGTTTCTTAGTTATGGGCCTTCTTTTATTTTCTTTAGTGCTGGCCACCCCATTAAGGGCATCCAAGTAATTGTACTCAGACTTAGAATTATTAATAAAAGTGATGAAAGAGAGCTAGAGAGAGAGGTTCAAATTCTTCTTTTCACCCTTCCCTTCTTTTCTTCTTCCACAACCTATTGCTAAAACTTCTTTCTTCTTCTTTCTCTTTCTCTCTTTTCTTCTTTTCTTGCATTATCTGAATTACTGTAGGTGTAATTTTCAACTTAGTATCAGAGCGGGTTCTCACTTTCGACTTCTTTCTCCTTTCTTTGCCCATACATAGTGTGTATGGAGAACTGATCGTGATCAATCAACTACTTATGAATCCCAGTTAGGAAGGTTTTTGGAGAGTTTTGTGGAGGTTTTTCATCCTTAGTTGAAGCCCGGGGCAGGTTCATGGAGATTTTTCCCGAAAACCCTAGATAACTGGAGAATCCTTGTTACAGGTCATAGAGACAGTTTGAACCAGGCGCTTAGGGATCAGAGTAAGCCTTTTGATTTCTATTAGGGGCAGTTTTGGTTGGATTGAATTCTAGAACCTTTGGAAGGGGCGGTTGAAATTTCTCTCTTTCCCCCCATCCCGCAAGACCCTATGAAACCCTAATTTTAGGGGGTTGAAAGGTTGTTTTTTGCTTAGAACAGTAAATCTAGCCTAGTAAAGCCCTAATTTGATTATCGTTTGCATCCATTTACTCAATGGAGCAAACTAGAGGAGAGATATCCCTTGCTAATGGCTCCTTAGCCCCTCTCACGGGAAAAGGAGACATTAAGACCTCTAATGCCTTGATCTTATCGTCTGTTCTTCATGTACCTAAACTTAATACCAATTTGCTTTCAGTTAGTAATTTGACTAAATCCCTAAATTGCGGTGTGACCTTTTTTCCTTCATATTGTGTTTTTCAGGACATGGAGTTTCAGAAGGTGATTGGGAATGGCCATGAGGCGAATGGGATCTATTTGTTAGACATGCCTAAGCAGAGCCAAGTACAACCTAAGAGAACTACATTTGTTTGAGTCCACTAATCGTATTTTGTTATGTCATAGTTGTTTGGGTCATTTGTCCTTTTCTTCATTGAGTCAGTTGTTTCCAGAGTTATTTAAAGAAATTAGTCCATCAAGTCTTCATTGTGAGTCTTGTGCGTTCTCAAAGCATTGTAAGAGCACTTATCCTTCAAAGAATTAAAGATCAATTATTCCTTTTAATATTGTTCACTCTAATGTGTGGGGGGCCTTACCATTTACCATGTATTGGGTGAGTATAAATATTTTATCCTGTTTATTGATGATTTTTCACGATATACTTGGATTTACCTTATGCACTCTCGGGCTGAAGTAACTAAACTTGTGCAACAGTTCTATGAACACATACTCACTCAGTTTAATACCTACATCAAAATATTCCGATCAGACAATGCTAAGGAATATTTTGAGAAGGACCTTATCTCCTATATTGAGAAGTTTGGGGTTATTCATCAGAGTTCTTGTGCTCCCACTCCACAACAAAATAGAGTAGCGGAGAGGAAAAATAGACACATTGTGGAAGTTGCAAGGAGCATTCTTTTTGCTACCCATGTTCCTGTGAAGTTTTGGGGTGATGCAATTTTAACAGCTACCTACTTTATTAACCGCATGCCTTCTCGAGTCTTGGGGTTAAAATCTCCTTTTGAAGTCCTCTTTCCTAATGTTGAGATTTTCTCTATTCCTCTGAAAGTCCTTGGTTGCACTTGTTATCTCCACATTCCCAATTCCAAAAGACACAAGTTTGACCCCAAGGCTCAGAAGTGTATCTTCCTTGGTTATGCCTCCACTTAGAAAGGGTATTGTTGTTTTGATCCAATTAGTGGCACCTGGTTTATCTCCATGGATGTCACCTTTGCAAAGTCAATTCCTTTTTATAGCCATCCTTCTAAGGGGGAGAGATCTCTCAAGTTGTTTTCTTTATCCCTTCCTTTGCCAACTCCAGTTGAATCTTGTGTTGAACCCTCCATAGTTACCCCCAGTCCCGTGGATGGATCCTCTCCTTTGAGGTCTTCCCCTCTTGCTCCTCCCCCTCCTCCTACTTGTCCTCCAGTTGTTTCCACTCATCCTATGAGAGGTGATCCCACACCTCCGATCAAGTCTCAGGCGCTCCCGATTACTAAAGAGAGGACATGTCCATAACCTCATCTACCAACACCCTCGTTTCCAGACCTTGACCTACCCATTGCTTTGAGAAAACGTAAGAGGAAATGTACAGCTCATTGTATTTCCAAACATCTTTCCTATAGCTTGTTGTCCCCATCTTACTATGCCTTTCTAGCTTCCATTTCCTCTCAATCCATCCCAAAGTTTGTTTCAGAAGACTTAGCCACACCAGATTGGAGAGATGGATGCAATGAGTACTCTTCATAAAAACAATACCTAGGATATTGTTGACTTGCCAACTGGGAAGGAACCTGTTGGGTGCAAGTGGGTTTTCACTATCAAGTATTGTGCAAATGGGTCAATTGAGAGGTATAAGCTCGGCTTGTTGCCAAGGGATATACCTAGGTATATGGGATAGCTTATACTAAGACCTTTTCTCCAGTTGCTAAGATGACTTCGTTGAGAGTTCTTTTATCCTTAGCAGTGAGATATGGTTGGCCTTTGTATCAACTTGATGTTAAGAAAGCATTTCTGAATGGTGATCTCACTGAAGAGGTATACATGTCCCTTCCTCCTAGTATACATGGCAAGGAAATGCAGGGTAAGGTGTGTAGATTGAAGAAATCACTTTATGGCCTGAAACGATCTCCACGTGCTTGGTTTGACTGGTTTAGGGCTGCTCTTGTTCACTTCGGCTATACTCAGACTCAATCAGATCATACCCTTTTTGTTAAGAGAAAAGGCACTCCGGTGACATTTCTTATAGTTTATGTCGATGATATTGTGGTTACCAGCAATGATACAGAAGAAGTTAATGCTCTCAAGAAGTTTCTCAATTCTGAATTTGAAATTAAAGATTTAGGGGAGTTGTGGTATTTTCTAGGCATTCAGGTTGCTAGATCCAAGGTATCTTTATTTCTCAACGGAAGTATGTGCTAGACTTTCTTACTGAGACTGGAAAACTTGGTGCTAAACCTACCTCTACCCCTATTGATGTGAATCATAAACTCTCAGCTAATGAACTTTTAGCTGATTGGGGAGTGTTTCAAAGATTACTGGGAAAACTTCTTTATCTATATATGACTCGTCCAGACATTTCATATGTTGTGAGTGTCATCAGCCAGTTCATGCATGCTCCTAGAGACACAAATATGGCTATTGCAAAAAGGGTGTAATGCTACCTTAAGGGAACCCCCGGGAAGGGTATATTATTTGCTAAACATGGACACATGAAGGTAGAAGCATATACAGATGTTGATTGGGTAGGAAATGTGGATGACAGGAGATCCACATCAGGATATTGTGCTATGGTAGCGGGAAATATTGTTTCTTGGAGAAGTAAAAAGCAATCAATGGTTGCTAGATCCTCAGCTGAGGCAGAGTATAGAGCTATGGCCTATGTAGGGGTATCAACGATTTTCATGAGCTGCTCGAGCTTGGCTCGTGAAAAGCTCAGCTCGACTTGGTTTCAATCGAGCTCAAGCCCAATTCAGTGGCTCGATTATTAAGCGAGTCGGCTCGATAATAAAATTATAGAAAATAATATATATAATAAAAATATTATAATTATTAATTATTATAATTCTTAAATTTTTAAATATAAAATAAAATTTTTTATATATAATTTTTATTTTATAAAATATTTTTCTCAAAATCGAGCTCGAGCTTATGCATTTTTTACTCGATCCGAGCTCGAGATCAAGGTTTTGGCTCGAACCGAGCTTGAGCTCGACTCAAGCTCGAGCCTAGTACTATTCGGCTCGACTCAGCTCGAATCCACCCCTCGGCCTATGGTGTTTCGGAGTTGTTATGGCTTAGATCTCTCCTTAATGAGATGGGTGTTTCATGTGACGAGCCACTGATGTTGTATTGTGATAACCAAGCTGCTATTAACATTACTCACAACCTAGTTCAGCATTATAGAATTAAGCACATTGAGGTAGATAGACACTTTATACAGGAAAGAGTGGCTTTGGGAGAGGTGTGCCTACCTTTCATTGCATCTAACTAAGGGAGTCCCAAAAGCAAAGTTTCAAGATTATGTAAGCAAGTTGGGCATGATTGGCATCTATGCTCAGCTTGAAGAGGGGTGTGTAGTGTGAATGGACCGAATGGGCCTTAGTGTTCTTTATTTCTTTTAAGTAGTATTTAAAAGTTATATTTCTTAGTTATGGGCCTTATAGGCCTTCTTTTATTTTCTTTAATTATTTCTTTAGTGTTGTCCATCCAAGTAATTGTACTCAGAATTATTAATAAAAGTAATGAAAGGGAGCTAGAGAGAGAGGTTTGAATTCTTCTTTTCTCTCTTCCCTTCTTTTCTTCTTCCACAACCTATTGCTGAAACTTCTTTCTTCTTATTTCTCTTTCTCTCTTTTCTTCTTTTCTTGCATTATCTGAATTACTGTAGGAGTATTTTTCAACTGATTCAACTTTCTCTACAATTTACAATATGATTACAATTTCAAAACATTGCTTGGGCTATCAATATGACCATGAGCTTACAGTTTTTAACTTTGCAGTCAAGTGTTCCAAAGCATATCTAGAGAAAAGTAGTGAGTTACCACAAAGCTTAGAATGAACAGGAAAGCTTACATGGCTTGGAGGAATATGTTTCCCACTGAGAAGATCAAGCAAAAGAGTGCCAAAACTGTATACTACGCTTTCTTGTGTCACTCTACCTGCCAAAGAAATAATAAGAAAACAATAGCATCTGCTCAAATTGAACATATTGGCTATTCTATCCACCATCTGTTGGGATTTGAAGAAAAATAAATCTGAAATACACATAGAAAAGGATTTGAGAAATAAAACCAACAACCTACTGATCTAGGGAGGCACCATTTGGGTCATTCATAGAGAAAAGAAATTACTCATTTGGTCCAGTTGGAGAAATATCCAATATAATGATTAAATCTTGTCTGCTAGCTTATATTAGAAAACAGTGAGAAACCGTTCTCTACCTATGAAACTATGATACCTTTGAGCTAAAGTATCATTGAAAACTTGCTATGCATCCTAGCTAGGAAATAGTTGCCATTGCTGATATTTCCAAAGTCATGGAACTGTCATGGAAGATCAAGAAGAAATATTTCTAGAGCCCACCATGTGTATGTGTACCCCCCCCCCCCCGGCCTTTTTTGAGAAAGCAAAGAGCAGTGAAGATTCCTCAAAAACTACATAGGCAAGTATTGATCACTATTCAAAGTATCCAAACGAGCACCAGATTTTGCAAGACTGTCTGCTAATATTTAATTCCCTAGAAATCCAAAACACGTTTGCATTGATGAGAGCTAGGGTGTCTCTAGCCCCAGCCAGGGAGTGAGCCAGCCTCCAAGGACCACCATCCTTCTTTATTGCATAGGATGTTGAACCAATTATTTCTATTGCATAGGATGTTTACCTGTTCTCAAGTACTCTGGAGGAGTAAAAGCCAAGTTGGTACTGTAGCTCTTGCCATCTCTACTATTTTTCATGAGGCCAAAGCACGATAGCCTGGGATTACCATCCTGTCAAGTGCTGACTACGATAAGGACTGGACAATGAAAAGAAGATGATCTTTTGGAAGTGGAAACAGGTAAAAGAGATATGAAGAAACAACTTACCTTATCGAACAACACTCGATAAGCATTGAGGTCATGATACAGCGCCCGCCCTTTACTGCTGCAATATTCCAAAGCTTGTGCCAAATACAGGGCAACCCTCAACCTCATGGCCCATTTCATGGGCTGGGTCTCCCCTAACCATTTCAACCGAACAATACACATAAGAACCATTGAAGAGTCCAAAGTTAAATTTGATAAAGGAAAAATCAATTTAAGGATTTAGCAAGAGGATTTTTTAGATTTTGTCCAATTAAGGCTCAAGCAGTCTACTTTTATTCTTTGACCAATTAAAGCTCACATTTCTTGTTAAAAGTTTGGCATCTCATGCATTCCATTTCCACCAATCCACCCAGCCCAAAAGAAATTTACAAATAAAGGACTGTTCTTCATGTTAGATTTTCCACTAAGCGCAGCAACAGTGGAAATTACAGCAATGTTTACACCCTACATTATATCGCGAGGACCAAAAAGTCTTAAGGGATCTGTCTTAAAGAGTAATAAAAGCTTACAATGGAAGAGATGCTTAGCAAGGGTTTCATTCGGCATGAACTCGGCAACGAGCAATCTCTCATCTCCTTCACAGCAACATCCAATCAGATTCGCCAACCGCTCATTACGAAGCTGACCCACCGCTCTGGCTTCTTCCTGCGGCACGACCAAATTAATTAAAATTCAAAACGAAATAAAAGATTCAACAACAATATTAAAGGAAAAGGAAACATATCAAATGCAGATAGAAACGAAAACCATAAGGAGCGTGTCTGTATGAGAGAGAGAGAGAGAGAGAGAGAGAGAGAGAACGAACAAGGAATTGACGAGAATCGGGCCAAGCGGACTTGTTGAAACGCTTGACGGCGATCCAGCGGTCATTCTCAAGCATTCCTTTATAAACAACATTGGGAGCTTTCTCTCCGTGCTCGGAAACGATGTTATTGGCAGAGAAGCCAGAAGTAGCAACCTTTAGCAGTTCCAAGCTGAACTCACTGAAACCCGGCAACAATTCACGGTCGTTTTTGCCACCGCCCTCTGCAAACAATTAACCCATGGAACAAAAAGAGAAAACCAAAGAAGTCGATGTCGTCAGAATTTTCAGTGTAAAGCAGACAGAGAAGATCTGGAGAGTCGAAAGACGCAAAACATTTACCAGCATCGGAGGATTCGAGGTTGGTCGATTTGAGGTTAGATTGCCACCAGCAGAAGGAGAATTTGGCGCAACAGGCTCCCATTGCCGGAGATCTAACGGCACAGGAAAAGAAAATCAGAGATCAGACGGCCTGTAATCCTCTCAAACCACAGGGTTGGAGGGTTTTCATTTGAGAGGGAGAGAAGGAACGTTTTGAGGAAGCACAAAAAGAGAAGAGAAAGGAATGACAGCGAGAAAGGGTTTTGTATAGCGAATGAAAGAGAGAGAAAGAGAGGAGATCTGTAGATCCAAGGTTTTTCTTTCTCTCTCTCTCCCCCTCGTCTGTGTATTCAGTTTTCACTCTCCCTCTCTCTCTGTAATATTAAAAGTATAAAATAATTGATTAAGCAATCTCTCTCTCTCTCTTATAACCTATTCCTGTATCTCCCTCTATCTCTCTCTACGTATAAGCAGCAAATTGCCTTTTCACCTTTTCCTTCCAGCTTTCTGCTTTCCTCTTCCTTTCTCTCCACCTCATCATTTCCCTCCTCCTCTCCTCCCCCTCCACCACCCCTACCACCACCTCCTCCTCCACCTCTTCCCTCTCTCTCTCTCTCTCTCTCTCTCTCTCTCTCTGTTATATTTTTTAATTAATTTTTTTACAGAACAATTTGGTTCGGAACCCCGTTCTGATGAACGGTTAATACGTCGGCGGCAGAGTTACGACTTACGATTATAGTTAAGTCGTTTTCTAGGGTAGACTGGGCAAAATATTTGAGTTTTTTTTATTTAAATAAAAAAATATCCTCCACCTCTCCCGTCCTCTTCCTGTTTCAACGTTCAACAAAACAGTCTATAATATACGGAATACAGATAAGATAAGCCAAAGATTAATATTGATGTAGACTCGTCTTATCAACTTACTACATTAACTAATATTAATTAATTAACTAATGACAACGATTTATTTATTTATTTATTAACAAAGTATTTGTGTTTTCAGTATTTTCAATTTCACCCTAGTAATTGAATGATTTAAGAATGTTGACCGTAGCTTCGTTGAGCCTTTGACCCATAAAAGGTGTTCTACTTTGACAAATTGAAAGCTGTTTGGCTTTCCTTTGCCCCGCCCAACGTCTGTGGTCTTTTCTTTTTTTTTTTTTACTACTTTTTGGCTAGAAAAGCCGTAATGGTGTTATGGTGCTCTATCTTCTTTCCTTCAACTAGTCATGACCCCTGTATTAAGTACGAGTCCATGATCTGAATTATTTCAAATTTTTAAAATATTCTATCTTAAAATTTTAGGTTAGGTTTTTTATTTCATTTTTATAGATTTTTATTTGATTTAAAAGATTCTTTCTAAAAGAATGGCCCACATCATTTATTATTTCATTTGAGACCACAACTTATCCTCATATGATAAATTTAATTTTGGCTTTCATTTAACTTAGAAAATTAAATCAGGTTTAATTTGCAATTAACATTTTATGTTTTTTCTTCTTTTTAACTTATGTAGTAGGCATGGCAAAATCTTAAGTACAGGGCAACTATTATTTTGTTTGTGATTCAGTATTTCTATGGTAATTTTGATTTGAGTATTTTAGGAAGGTGGAGATATTTTAAGAAGCATTAGATAATTGAGTATTTTATGAGAGTATAGAAATATAGGTAATGCTAAGAATTAATACACACATATATACATATAATACATACTCAATTAATATTTATTTAAATAGTTGTTTTTAACTTTTTATCACATTTTAATTAACTTAAATTAAATTATTAGCTTCATTTGGTTATTTAACCGTTTTACTAATTATTCAATCGTTTTCTTTTTTGGAATAATCATTTTTAATATTTATTGGATCATTTTGTATTTCCTTTTATAAACTTAATAATGTATATTTTATATATTAATTACATACATGTATTAATGAATTGAATAATTAATTTTATTTACTAAGTTATTAATTTAGCTTAATTAGATAAGTTATTAATTGTATTAAATATTTAAGTTACAGTAATTAAATTTAATTGAATTAAGGGGTCAATTTAAATTTAATGACCTATATGGTGTACAGAATAAACATAAATGAGTTAACTTATGTGCCTATAAATTGTTAAATATAAGTAATAATTTTTTATTGAATTAAGGGGTCAAGTTGGCTTATCAAAAAAGCGGGTCAAGTTGAATTGTATGACCCGTATAGTTTATAGGTTAGACATAATGGGTCAATTTATGTATACCCGTAGATTGTATGGGTGACTTAAAAAATACCTGTTTTGCCTATAAAAACAAATCAATTTAATTTGTCTTTAATGACCTATGTCAATTATTTTCAATTAGCCGCAAATTTCAATAATTGCGGTTTTGAGTAAATGTCAATTAATTTCAATTACCGAGAAGTGTGAGACAATTTGGCCGAGTTTATGATAGTTTTAATGGGTCCCACCATGTATTTTTTTATTGGGTTGATTATGCATCTATTTTCTCAAGAAAAAATATAATATGCATCTATTTTAAGATTTTGAATGAAAGGGAAAAGTAAGGAGAATGACCATTTAGCCCAAGGTTAGAATTCATAGGCCCAAAGTACAGTTGGGACAGGTGTCAATTTAGAATTGATGCTAATTTACCGTAGATATGGGTGCATAGAATGTGGGTTTTTAACCTTTTGAATGTTTATAAATTTGCAGGTGAATTCAGAAATCTGCAGTAGGCCTGTCCATACTTTTCCGAAGTAAATATTTGAATTGTGTTTGTGGTAGTTTTAATGGGTCTCACCATGTATGCTTCTTATTTGGTTGAGCATGCATCTATTAATAAATATTTTGAAAGAGTGATTTGAATTTTGAATTTTATTTGAAAATATAACTAACCCCTTCTTAAATACCTTTTCCAGAAAAATGAGGTTGCCACGTGTCTGAATGGTGGGGGGTTGTCGCATGACGACCTTCCTTTAATATAGATAGATAGATAGATAGATAGATAGATAGATTCCATAAATGAGTTTTGGATGCGCAACACTCAAGCCCTTTTCACGTCAATTGAAAAAAAAAAAAAAAAAAAAAAAAACTTTACTACAAAGTTGGATACACCTCCATTAATAGGGAACTAGGGGTGTTAATGGACCGATTTTAGGTTGGACCCAATCCAAATCTAAATAAATTTGGACAAATTGGATGGACCATAAGATATATTGAACTAGTCTAGATTTAAGATCCAAAGTATTTATTAAATTAGATTGGTGTTTGTCCATCCATAATGAATTTATATTGGATTGGATCATATTTAACCTATATTTAGTCCATTAATAGAAGATAAGAATGTAGGTGTCAATGGACCAAGTTTGAATTGGAACCAATTTAAATTAAAATCAATTTGAACAGATTGGACAGTCCGGACATTGAATTAGACTGCTCCAAAATGGTGCAAAGTATTCATTAGATTGGATTGGGTCTAATAATCTAAAAGATTTAATAATTTTATTTACTATTAATTAATATTAAATTAATAATCAAATTTTTTTGTTAATTAACTAAAAGTATTCAAAGTTATTGTTAATATCTAAAATGTTAATAATTTTATTTTTCATTTAATGTTGATTTATAGAAAATAATTATTGCTAATTTAATATGAACAAATATTATTTAACAAATTTAGTTTTATTAATAATTTTTAGTAATTTTAATAATTGTTGTTATTTTTATTATTTTTAAATGAAATTTTGATTAACTTTAAATAAATAAAAATAATTACAAAAGGTAAAGTTTTTATTAATTTCACTAATAATTAACAAATATATAGGAATGACAACTGGGTGGGTTTAGGGTAGGGCACCCATTAGGGGTGATCATGGTCGGGCTTGGCTTTGCCTTCATAACAACGGGCTTAGGCTAAGCCCGGGCCCGACCCTACCCACATTATGGGCCTAAAAATATAAGCATGGGCCCGGGCTGGGCCAAGCCAAGATTCTGGGCCTAATTATTGTATTTCAGTTCCAAAATTAAACAATTGTGCTTTTATTTTCACTTGTCGTGGAGACTATAATAACATGCAAGAAACTTTAAACTTAATATCAAGATAAAAGCTTCTAACATAAAAGAAATTAAATAATTATACCTTGTAATTTATAAGTTTCAATTGGTCATTAGTATGCTAAAAATTATAATTTTAACAAACCAATTCTTCTATCAACAAAAAATCAGCCTAGAACCTATAATATCTATCAAAAAATAATCATCAATTGTCATGTAATATCCACAAAAGGACTTTAAACATCTCTATAAGGAGCTCCATCTTCCATTCAACTCCTACAAATAAAAAGTGAAATAAAAAAGATAGTAACAAACTAAGAAAAAATAGTTCAGATTAATGTAAATAAATAAGTAATAAAACAATGAAAATGGTTTCAATTTTACCCAAAACTTGCAACCACTCTAAACTACAAATTTATCTTCATTAATGGAGCCTTCATCACTAGAAGATTCATCTTCTGGTGTGAGAGGGAGATTGGGCGCGGCAGTGGTTTTGTGAAATTGGTGAGAGAGAGAGCCGAGAAGATTATGGTTTAGTAATTTCTATATTTCATTAAATGCTAGATTAGAAATTTGTAAGATCTAAGACTATAGGATTAAAATCTTTAATCTCGTACAAATCTTTATTAATCTCTATTTAATATATAAAGCATCAATTATCAAATATTTTTAAATAACATATATATATATATATATATATTATAAATATCTGGATCAAGCCTAAAACCTAGGCCTAAGCTTGGATTTTCTAGGCCGGGCTGAAATGATCACCCCTAGCACCCATCCCTGTCCCTACTCCATAATCAATACACTCTACCCCATCCCCGCCTCGTCCCCAGTGTCAGGTGGGTTCAAGGCAAGGCAACTACTCCTCAATGTCGGGCGAGTTCAGGGGCAAGGCACCCCACTCCTCATCAAGGATGGAGAATCCTCGAATTTCCCCGTCCCGTCCCCGATATTGGGTGGGTTCAAGTAAGGTGTAAATCAGGTTGTGCTGGGCCAACATGGCATGACTCGCATGTGGTGCGGGCTATGCCGTGCTGGCCCACGAGGCATCTTAGGTCATGCCTCCCTCCCCTGGGATAATTTGGTGGGTCAGTTCGGCACGGCCCATGGCCCTAGCCCACACGGGCCCGTGCCGTGCCATGGGTCAAGCTGGTCCATTGGTCGAGCCTTGGGCCAGGCCATGGACCGGGCCAAGCTATGAGAGGTCCATTTAAAAAATAAAAATAAAAAAGATGTTTAAATTTTTATTTCATATGATTTTTGATGTATACAATTGTTTATATATGCAATTAGATCTATTTATGAGCCGGGTAGCTCGACAACCTGGCCCATGGACTCGAACTTGGGCTTTCTCAAATAAACCCGGCTCGGGCTCGAGCCCGAACCCGGCCCGATACTATTACATATATAAAAAAGTACTTATGTTATATATAATAAATATATATATATATATATATATATATATATATATGCTTCTTAAATTATTAATAAATATCAATTCACTATCAGGAAATATAAATTAGTTTATTAATTTATTACTAAATTAATATAATATTAGTTTATAAA